CGCACCGAGTCGACGCACGGCGGTTACCAAATTTACGGGCGACGTGTATGTAATTTTCGCAAACCGCGAATCGAACTCGCGACCGTTCGCCGATTATAGTATGGGTAATTGTACATGCGATTACGACGAGACGATACGTCCACGTAACACCATTATAATAATAATATATAATATATTGTGCACGTGTGTGTGCGTACAGCGTAGGTACGTATATTATACGATTCCCAATTCCCACACCCACCGTACCTGACCACCGCGTTGCGAATGGCAGAAAAATTCAGTGGCGTTGACACAAAGCCCCTTCGAATGAAAAAAAAATCGAATCTTCTCGTGATTATAAACGCGCACTCACTACGAGTATAAAGGAAGCGTTATAATCCATTTGGTTCCATCTACAAGAATATTTTAATTTATTTCGTCAGTTCGTGGTATAGGTATATGAGAAAATATGCAGATATTTACCATTTTAGCTACTATTGTATGTTTCTAAGACAAGTAATCTTAATAGGTACCTGCAATCATTCGATATTTTTGGTTTTCGAAGAAGTATTTACTTATATAAGACATACCATGCAGATAATATATAATTTTAGATTCTGAGTGGAATGATGTATGTATTGGTTTTACAAAGATGTGTGTTTTTTTTTATTTGTGTCTGTGTACACGATAAGTAGTCGAAGTAATGCTTCGATTTTCAACTTCAGTATCTTGTTCGATTGGACAGTGAATATCGTTGGTGCATTTGGGAGGTCAAAAGCGCAGGGAAAAACAACATACAAATTAAGGAAAATCGGTTTTTGACAAACGATTTTGGCTTTTGGTGTAACTCTAAAACAAATGATTGTAAATACATGAAATTTTCACTGGTTGTTTATACTTGCATTTTCTATACACAATAAAATTTTCAAAATATTATGATTTGTTTTGAACTGTTTAGGAACATTTTCATTTTCCATTTTTTTTTTAGTTTTTTTTCTAAAAGTTTCAATAAAATTGTATTTGTTGGTTAAAAAAAGCTTGAAAATTTAATAGAAGGCTCCTAATATATTGTTTCAAAGGTAGATGAAAAATATTAAAAATCCTTACGCATAATTTTTTTTATAAGCATTTAAAGATCGAATTTTTACAAAATTTATCAAATTTAAAATTGAATAATTATTTTGTAGTTAAAAATTTATAAAATGTTCAACTTTTATATCTAAGGATTGAAAATTTAAAACAAGATTCCACGTATGTAGTTAATTCTGTTACCAAAAAATCTAAAAAATACATAACCACAGTTTATTTTTATAGTAATTTTAAGTTCAAATTTAGATGAAATAAAAAAAAACCTAGAATAACTATTTTACTTATTTTGTTGTGATTGTATGATATTATTCGTAGGTACTTGAAACTTCTAAAGTACACTAATATATTATATCTATGATAGTATCAGGGTTTGTTGTTGATGTGTAACGCGTTATAAGTACCTAATGGATATTGTGATATGATTAATTTGGAATTTATTATAGGTTAATTTTTTTCAATACCATAGATAAGTGTATAATATGTCTTATATCTAGACTGTCATACCGTCTCCGCTCAGAATCGTTTTTCTTATACAATGATGACTTATTAGTTATTACTAAGTAAAGTAAATGTTAATCAAAATCGTAAAAAGAAATTTATACATGTTTTAAATTTTTAAATTGAATATATTATTTTAGGACATTTTTAGTAATTTTCTAGGGGATTGCATAAACCTATGAATAATAATGGCAAAACTTATAGCATAATATCCATTTTTACTAAGTAGTTTTTGTTGTATACTGGGCACTCACCATAACGGTAATAGTATTATTTTTAAAATATCAAAACTTAGTAGACTTGAAATCTTCGTCGATTATTTATTTAGTTATTGGCTATCGTATATGTATATAGAATATATATATACTTTTATAGAATTTGAAAGTTAAATTACTTTGTTTTGGGTTGCATTCTATTGATCTATACACACGATTATAAGTGCTCAACGCTTACCTGTTGCCTATTATTCATCCATAGGATTGCATTGACACTAATTGTATGGTTAATTGTTAATAATTATTATACAATTTGTTTGGAGTTCAAACGTTCTTCTCCGTAGTCTGGTTTATTATAACTTATAAGTGTGATAGGTATAATATTGTATTAATGATTAGAGTTTGAGCATTGAACTAATGAACTATAAACGATCTTAAAGTTTTTGACTGGTCTATTTCGTTTTAAGTTGTTAAAGTTGTTATACCTACACAGTCTTAAGAGTTAAGTTGATAAGTGTTTTTTTTTCTATAAAACAATTTTTGTTACAGTTATATAAACTTAATTCATTGCAGGTTGTATTTCTGAGAAGTAATTTAACAACTTCTCTTGTACTTTTTAAAAATGTTCTCTTGGAGTGACTTTAAACCTGTTGTATAATAATAATAATATGTTAGTTTTCATAGTTTTACGTACCTATCGATAACCACGCAATGGCAACCGGTATAATCATAGTTAAGTATATAATATGTGACAACGCTGAACGAGATAATATCGCATTCATAATTAATGCATTACGATATAATATTATGTTTGTAGCATTATGTATATGTTCCTATACACACAGTGTTGGATTGTGCGAGTTATTATAAAATATTGCACGCACCTGCCGCCCGAGACCCACACGGCGGCATGTCATTATTAATCACGAAGACGGCGATTGTTGTTTTTTTCCTGTATTATTTTAAAGTCCCGTTAATCGTCGACATCGTGCGCTGTGCTGTTTTGCGTATTTCTAAAATATACACGCGCATGCGTATTCCGGCGGAGGTCCGAATCGAATTATGGGACGAGTGCAGCGTTAAAAATATACATTTAAATACCTCCGGTCATCATTAACGAGCTAAATTGTTATTTTCCATCAGTGTAACATACAACCTGCAGACTTAATGCGTTACGGTTGAGATGAGCTAATATGTATTAACAGTTTGTGATTATAGCTGATGCAATGATTAGTTGATTTTAATCAAGAAAAATGTACTTGGAAAAGTTTATTCTGGTCAAATCAACTATACGTCGAACTATACGCCGAATATCGCATGGGGAAATCAATATGACTTGAACAATATATTTCAATAATCGGTCGAATGTAATTTGTAAAATAAAACTAATTACCTATAACTTAATTTCAAATTTATTTAGTAAAAAGTTTCTGTCTTAGTATAAAATCCACACGCTTACATAGGAGGCATAATCGGCATTGAAAAATAATTCATCAGGACTCTGGGACTAAATATGGCCATCCGACCAAACGTCATGTCTGACAAAAACAAATCAAACCAAAATATTTCTATAGATATATCATCTATACACGACACACCCACCACCTACGGATAGGTATAATAATTATTAAGTTCCAAAAATGTATCATCAGTTATTCAGTTATCACTTATCACCGAATGATAAATATACATATTATCCGCTTACCTATAAAACTGTCAAGATCATAATATGATATATTACTATAAAGAAGATGATATTTTAGGCGGATTTAATTTGATGGGCGGGTTTTATTTCTATCATTTTATTACCATTTTAAATTTGATTAGCTAATGTATAATACGAACCGAGACACAAACCTTTTATATTATTATATCGTGGACATCGCGATTTCACAATGTACCGGGGTAAAATAATAATAAAAAACTGTTTAGTTCGCATCTCGTCCACAAATATTATGTATATTAGGTACCTATAGCAACCGCTGGCCGGCGTATATATGTCATGTTTTTACTGCCCCGGAAAACGGGAACATCGGATAGTCGTAATACCTACTCTATGTATTTTAGTATTTATGTATGGGTGCATAATGCATGTATATATAGCACATGCGCGTCAACGAATGATGGTTTATGTATGTAAATAGATTACAGACGTCGGGCGGCGTCGACGTGTCTGAGGTATGTGAGGTAAAAATTATACGATGGTATAGTCTTATATTCAGACCTGGTTTTGAGGACTTATAACAATTGCACAGAGTTGGATGTTTGTGTCTGATATATGCTCCGATGGTTGAGGACTGAGGAGAGGAACATTTAAAAAATCTATAGTTATTTATACGATACTAGGGCTTTTCGAAATTAAATTTTATAAGAAAATGATGCAGCAGGAATCGAAAAGAATGAACAACAATAATACAGTTTTATTCTACCCACTCGTATTACTCGAGTTCTATTTAGGTAAATACCTAAAGCAAATAAATACTATTTACTGGCCGATTATTTGGATTCTATTTGCGCTACTCGTTCGTTAGCATCATTGCATTTACATTGCAGCTATAGTATATATATTACAAAACTTTGGGAGCCTCCGGCGATGGCGTTCGTAACTTTATGGCTGTCCACACAAACATACACATGGGTATTACGTAAGCACGGTCGATAACGATAACACCGTCGTATGTATGTGTATAATACACACACACAAGCACACATTAAGGAAAGAAAAACATCAAAACCGTGCAACGTACTTGTATAATATATTATACATTATGTTGGGACCGAGCTCCACATTATATACGTATTGTACTATGCGGATCGGCGCACGCCTTTTCGGCCAGCGCACCACCGATCGATCCGCGGACGAGCGGACGCGCGCGGCGGGGCGGTGTTGACGATGCCCGTTCGCATCCCTCTGTCAACAACACCGCTCCCCCCCGCACCGCTCAACGCGTACACCGGTCACTCGAATATCTGCCGACACACACATATACACACACTGGCACGCGCGTGCGGGAGCGCGCATGAACGCTCATCCGATTGGCTGTTTGTAGCTGTTGCCGTTATATAATATTATAAGCAATTAAATTATTATTATTATTACTATTACTGTGTACGCATTAATGAGCGACGTCGCATCATCAACACGTAAAAACACGTCGTGTATACAAATTGTAATCAATTTCAAGTCTATATACTGCGCCGAAGATCGATATATAACGGTCACATCGTTTTGACACTACGATTTTTACCTGTGCTTATGGGTATCGCAGGCGGCGGTCCCGGGATCTGCGCGGAAGTGGCAGCGGACGTCAGTGACTGCTGTTGTGACGGCGGCGGAGATGGCGAAAATAGCCGCGAGCAGATGGGCACGGCCTCCGGGATGGGTGGTAAACTCGAATCGTCTGCTATGGCAGCGGCGACGGTCTCTTCGGCCGCCGCGACATCTTCCTCCGTCGACGTCTCCGCGTCGGCCTCCTGCTTGGGCTGTACTATGACAACGACGCCAGCCGGTGCCGCGTGACCGGTGGCCACCGCTATGGTCGACTTCTTCCTCATAGTGTCGCTCTACCCCGTAGCTTTACTGGCGACCGCGGCACTGGCGGCGTGCATCTCGTGAAAATCACTTCATGATACTCCGCGCCTTAGCTGACCGGTTCTGTTTCGATATTATATTTACTCGGTCCGTTAACAACTGTATACGAGTCTTATGTGATATAAATTTACGGTAACGACAATATCGTTAGAGACGGAGAAGACGATTGGAGATCGGTACCTGCGATGTTGCAGTCTGTATTCAGTGCAGTTATACGTTTACTGATCTCGCGATTACAATACAATAATACAATACTTGTGTTTATGTATTTATTAAATAGTCACAGGCGCCGCACTGAACGGACGCGGCCACGGAAACAACAAACGGCGGCGGTTGCGAGACAGGCCGTCGTCGCAGTCGCCGTCGTAGTCGTCGCCGTAGTCGCCGTCGTCGTCGTCGTCGAGATGCGCGTAGGGCCGTGAACGTAGTGCGTGTGCGTGCTCGGTGCGTCGGCGTAGGCCTGGTTTATCGAGCGCCGGTCGCCGCCGCCACAAAGGCCGCCCGGGCCGGCGGATATGCGGTGCTGGCACGGCGGACGGTACCCGGGGACGCTTTGTATCAGTGAGAAGGTAGAGGGGGAGGGGGTAGAAAAAAGCTCATGTTGCCGCGACGGGACCGGCTTTTTCGCTCGTCCGTGTCGTGGTGTGTCCGTGTTTGTACCGTCGTGGTGTGTGTTTACGATTTTTCCCACCCCGTCGCGTGTGTTACAATCGCCGCCCGGTGACATCACGACGCTTCGAAGACATTTCCTCAACCCCTCACGTGTGCCACCAGAACCGGTGCAGGGGTGGTAAACAATGCGAACGAAAGTGATGTACGCACTACCCCTACGCTTTAACCTCCCACGTCACGGGCGCTATAATTGAGACTTTTTTTTATCAAATGAAATCAACGTGTATTATCGTAATTATTTAAATACTGGACAAGCCCGATTAGATTTAATTAAGTCAGTATATATAGTTATAAAACTCTAGACTAAAGAATAATAATGGGTCCTCGTTGGCCAGTTTCCTCGTTCTAACAATAGAGCGATTGGTTGAATAATTGTACTTGCTAATAAGAACACGGGACGGGAAAAGGTTTCCTGACCCTAAAGTTAACTTTATACAACAGGGCACTCCCTGTTCAACTCAATCATCTTCGCCATTAATAAGTTTAGAGAGAAACATTAAACTACCACTTTTTGTACTATTGCATATTATGGACTTTGGACAAAATGAGATGATGCACTACACTCATGAGGTACTCATGAAGGCGAAAAGTTGCACTGCACCCTTTCAAGTTGATAACTACCATTTAGTGTATTTACAGAGTCTTAGATAACCATTTTATATTTTAAAAGAGACCGGACAAATTAACAGTATAAAGTTTTTAAATAACTAGAAAGCTTGAATTTAAATCTAAGAAGTTTTAAGGCCTTGGACATGTAACCTTTTTGGTGTGGGTCTGAAAATGTAATGACCTATCAAAAGTAAAACCAACACAGTCACCTGAAGACTGTAGACTGTAAAGTAATATACTAATATCATTAAAAAAGTATTCAAACAAGATATAGTATCGTAAGCCCGAATGAAGGACATAAAGTTACATTATATAATATAATATACGTCTTGTTATTACTTTATATACGACATAATATGTATATTACGTATCATTCATATTTCAAGTACGTCAATTAAAGTATTTTAGGTTAGGTTAGTCTTCAAAATGCCATTCATTCGTTATAAACTAAAAGTTAATATGGTCACGTATTATACGCTTCAACCCCGTGGTAATACACCCGTTTTGTTAATACTCAATATTGGGGACGTCATAATATTATATAGGCGAAGACGATTGACATTTGACAGTGATGAATATTATAATCACATGTTTTACGATTACAATGAATAGGTACATTAATTTAATTTGGTTATTATTATTGGTAATTAGTAGTGGTAGTAGTATTCGGATAAAGTTATTAAATAAATATTAAATTCTATGAGTATTTATAAAAAAAAAAATTAATACAAAAAAATAAACTTCAAATAAATTGACATTATAAAGGCGTTTCACCATAATGCACAATATGGAAATATTGGAATTTTTTTATCGCTACATCAGCTGTGAACTTCAAAAATCGGAAATATATTATGGACATTAGAAAATTGACATATCAATGGACACATTGGTATGTTACATTGGGAACATATGGTCACCGTGAAAATGATATACAAACATATTTGGTGTACATTATTATTAAATTAAATTTATAACAATATCATTGACTACAAGTTCTATACAGATAGGTATACACTATTTACAAAAAACTTTAGTGTCACATTATCTATATATTATAATATAGAATTAATGGTTAAGAGGACTTCGCTCCCGCATATGTTGTCTCCGTTTTACACGAGTAATTTTATACTCAGCAGATCACGTTTAGCCCCGTTCATTTTAAAATTAGAGTAAATTGACCTCTTATACAATTTAAAGGTAAGAATATTATGTAGGAAATCTCATCGGCTTTTTTTTAAATTTAAATTTTAAATTGAGTTATGAGTATTTGTAAAATTGTAAATTGTGTATACATCTTATAATACTCATAACTCAATTTAAAATTAAAATATAACAAAAATCCGATGAAATGCACTAGACAATATTTTTACCTAATTTTATAAGAGGTCAATTCACTCTAATTTTAAAATTAAAGGGGGGCTAAACGTGATCTGCCGAGTGTAAAATTTGCTATGTCGTACGAGTGTAAGACGGAGACAACATAATATGTAGGTGCGACGTTCTCTTAATAATATAATATTAACTTAGCCATACGTCATGCACGTTAGTATGATAAAAGTCTTACTAAAATATCATTCAGATATCCAAAAACAAGTGTAAACATTTTAACGGAATGTTTCTATATATGTTATATAGTACCTAGAACCTGCTTATAATAAATTACATACACTTAGACATATAATATTTAACCTCCACAACTGTGCCTGATAATTGCAGGAAAACATTATAATAAGGTAAATTTCCTTCAAATGTTTTAAGAGTCACTCCAAGACTTCTAACTTAGGTACCTATATTTCGAAACGTTTCATATTCGATTCCTTTGGATTTTCATATTGAATGACTATACTGTATTTGAGTAACTGAATAAAAATTATATATATATATTATATATGTGCATAAATACACAGTTCTTACAAGTATAAAAAGTAAAGTTAAAATCGTGTTCTTTTAATAATAATAATTGAATAATGACAGACAACTACTGTAAACATAATTTGTTCGTCCATCATTATTCATTACGCACATTGTTAACGCGATTTTTTTTTTCGTAAATAGATTTTTTCTTTTACAATTATATCATTCGATGCCTAATTATTTATTGCTTGCTAATCGACAACCGAGCGCCCGTTGCACATATACAAACTCAATATAATTCGTACATAACGACCGTCGTGTGCGCGTAATGGCATAGGTATTATAATATTATTACAAAGTTTTGGTATAGGTAATCGTTATTAGCTTTTACCGATCAATTAGTAAGAACCTATAATTATAAGTATTAGGCATACCTACTTGTTTTAGGCATCATGTATAGGTACTACACCGACATATCTATTTGTTTAATATACTCTTGAGTGCTATAGTATTATATAGGTATACAATAACAATTATAACAATATTGCGTCCACCCACCACATAACGCATATATCGCGATGTTAATATTGTTTCGTTAAAAATTAAAGACATTTTTAAATACCTATAATAGATTCATATTATGTTTGTATAGGTGTGCGTGGTGAGCATAGTATTATTTTTTTTCTGCGCTTGCATTGTCAAAATCGTCCACCAAGCGAAATTCCGCAAAATTTCGGAAACGCGAGCGCCCGTAGTGTATCGAGTATACTATATAGGTATAGGTATGGTATACGAATTTTTTTTTTCCCGGTCCCCGCTCGACACATCAGCAAAATGACACATAGTACATGGTCATCACATAACTACGCGTGCGCGCGCTGTTCGGTATAATAATAATAATAATATAATAATATTATATATCGTCATATCGCATTATATCATTTACACTTGGAGGAGTGTGTGAGTGTGTGCTCTTAGGTCTGCGCACGCGTGCGTGTGTGCGTGCGTGTGTGTGTGTGTGTGTATGTGTGTACATGACGACGACGAAGACTATAATAATATACGAAATAATGTGGAAAAATGTTCGCGTGCTGCTGCCGCATAGGTCGTCGTACCCGAAGAAAAAAATAAAAAACAATAACAATAACGATGATGGTAAAAAATGTTCAATAAACGTCGGCGGCGGTAAAAGTGCCGACGTCGATAGAAAATCGATTAAAATGCCCAAACACTGGAAACCCGCGACTGAACTTCGCCGCTGACGTCATCGGTTATAAGAACCATTCAAGCCGCGCTATGTATATAACACGTATTAGGTATAGTATCGATAATGTTTAGGTTTGTCGATAGATATTGATATAAATAATTATCAGCCGCTCTAAGGGGCCAAAGTAAAATGCTTAACAATATTTTAATAATCGATAATATAAAAGTCGTTGACGCTTACCTCTGATTGTGCTCGGCATCGTTGCGGCCGTTGGTCGGTGGTCGCGACGACAACGATGGTCTTCCGGTGCTCACCACAACAGTGTTTCTTGTACGGCTCTCGCGCCGCGAAGGACGGTGCGACGGTGTTCGATTGCAGTCGTCGTGCGACTGCGTAAATCGCACGGAAATATTATTACAAAAACGGTGGTATATAATAATAATAATATATGATATCACAATAGATATATCGTATTTGATCTAAAATATTACGTTAAAAAACGAACCGGACGCAGTGGATATACATTTAAATGGTTTACAATAATTCGTGGAACCACGACGTGGACGGACGGTAGTGAAATACGTATTATTATTATTATTATTATTATAAATATAAACGTCG